GCAAAAATATAACCTAATGAACACTAAAGATTTGCATTTGGCACTTATATCCTCCCAAAAGTCTAATCGACCCACATTCCAAAAACTCTTAAACTTCGTACACAAATAAGCTAATACGCACTACACAACATGATCCAGAAGTCTAAATAAGCTCGATTAAAATCCAAAAATTGAAGTGAGTCAGCACCCCATCATCACCAATTCCCCTCCAAAACCACGTAGATTACCATAACTCACACCTAAAAGTAACACAACGACACAATACTAAGCACCAAATTCTTAGAATAGTATGTATACTACAAAAATTTACCCCTCACAACAAATCGAGTAACTGAACAAAACGCAGCCGTGAAAAAAGATCAACAAACTTAAAAAAGCAATAATCAAACAAACACCCGCAGATCTCTCCCGTTATCCTAACTAACCAAGACCCATGATACTACCAGATATTATAAATTGAGACAATTTATCAAACCTTAAAAAGATCAAAGCACATGAAAGAACATCCCGGGTCAACATGGATCGGGCTTCGGGTCATGGGGTCGACCCGGCATTTTTTATTTTGGATTCGATGAAATCTAAGGTCCTTGGACAGAGAGAAAGAAGTTGCTGCAATTGCAGTTGCAGAGAGGAGAAAGTTAGGGCTTTTTGTTACGGTTGGGTTTGGTGCGGTTTTTTGTGTGGTGAAGTGTGGAGCTGGGGTCAGGGACTTCGACTAGAATTTCAATTGGAGAATGGGTCCCACATGGCCCTTATCCAATACCGGCTTTTGTTTGTCTGATCCTAACTCCTAAGCCTGAGGCCGCCCGGATCCGGCTTTCCCTTTGGACTATGGGTTCACTCCCTTCTTAGTTAATGACCTTCCAAATCCAATTTTACCCTGTCTGCATTCTTTGGTTTATCCGTTGGTACTTGCATGTTTTCGTGAATTTTTCTCTGCGTATGCTTTTTGAAGAATTAAATAATTTTCCTTTAGAAACGAAAAATTATTAATTAAATATCATTTATAATTTTATATGATGAATTGAAATTATTTGGCAAGTGTTGATAATATTCCCATAATTAAGATTGGCATTAATAATAGATAAGTAAGTTCATTTAATCCGTAAAAGATGATGACTAGATAGGATAAGATTTAACCAAAAAACTTAGATTAAATTAAATGATAGGTATATACCAATTTGTTTTCTATAAAACATAAATTGGTATTTACAAGATTAAAAGTAGGATACCATGATTTCTTTTATTACTATATAACTTGTTGTATCATACACTATTTTAAAGAAAAATGTAAGTCCTTGGTAATAAGATAATTTGTAATATATATATATATATAATATAAAAAGTAGGAATGTAATTTTTTATTGAAGTAAAAAAGATATTTTTGTTTATTTTAGTTTTAAATTATCATTGTTAATATATTTTTATTTTAATTACAATAATCTAATGCACATATAAGAATTTTAATTCCATTAAATGATTTTCATTAGAATATGAATTACTCTATTGGAAAATTTTCATTCATTTTATATTTAAATTGTAATCATAATAAATATGATGTAACAATTATTTTTCAAAAATAAGAGAAGCAATGTTAGTGAATGTGAACGTTAAAATATTTAACCCACAAATTTATGTTATATGAAAATTGGGTCATCCGATACCTTTCTTAAAGTAAGAAAGATTGCCAAACCGACATGATTTAAAATTATTTTAATCTTTATCTGAAGGATTATTGTGCCTACCAAATACACGTGTAAAACGTTCTACTGAGAGATTTTACTTAACAAGGACAACATGAGAAAAGTAGTTTTAACATGCTAAGAATATGTATAAAACAGAGAAAGGTGTCTAAATGTGCATGCTAAAATATTTGAGTTAATGAAAATTTTTCATATCAGTATATATATATATATATATATATATTACTTACTTAACCGAAAAATAAATAAAAAAACAAAATGGACATAGTTTGAACTACAAAATATTTATATAATGGCAAATTATGATCATATAGCATACTCTAATCATATATATATATATATATATATATATATAGTTTGTTATAATTGATTATTATATTTTTCTTGTTATGAGTGTGCCACGTCATACATTTCTATGTTCAACAAATATAAAATAAAACGGAGGAGGTACCAACCTGACCAGGTCAACAGCCTGAGAATGGGTTGGAGGCGTCTGTGGGCTAGCCCGCCTCAATTTGCCCCAAGTTTTAGGTAAAGCCCAACCCGTCTGAAAACTATAAGCCAAGCCTGGCTCGGGTAAAGAATTTTAATATTTACGTGAAATATTTCCAAAAAAATAATAAATCCAAACCTACTCATCACACCAAAACATGTTTTTAAATCGGTTCAGTAATGATATTTGGATATTTAGTTTAATGGTAATTATTATTACTTTTTAATTTTATGTTTTTGAAAATAATAAAATATAAAAAATATTTTTGAGATTCTTTAACTACTTAAAAGGTATTGTGGTCAAGAAGAAAAACGTTCAAAGAATTCTTTTCTTAATTAACTCTACATGTGTGCTTGACTTTTGTTTGATTAAATCTTCAAGTACCCTATTTATTGATTCTTATTATTACAAGCAAAAACAAAAATCAATAAATGTTATAACAACATTTTATCAGTGAAGACGGCCATTTAATATGTTTAATATCAAATAATAATAGGTCACATCTCAAACTTCATTAGAATTGTTATTGTGTTAATTTTTTCATATGATACTTTATTTTTTATGCCAATTAATACATTGTGAATTTATTTTTTTTTTCAATTAGAACTGTTATTTTATTCAATAAAATTATCAAATTATCTTCAATTCAAATTTAATTATTCCTTCACACTTAAAAGGTATTTTTATAATTTTACTAAATAAAAGTAACAACCAAATCCCTTACAAGACCAGAAGTTATCCACAAAATATTTATTGAAAAAAAATTAACATTGTACTAGTAAGGAAAAAGAAATCAGAGAGTGCCATATATAAAAAAAATTGAAACCACAATGCATTTAAATGAAATTCACCTTTTTTTTAATTTTAGAGATAGAGCAATTACTTAAATAAATAAAAAGTTTGCTAACAATTTACTAAGTTGATTTTCACAATTAAAACAACTTCCCATAATTACAGGTAATACTTATCTTTGGACAATAGATATAACTAAATTAATAATGCTTACTATTTTCTATCCTTTGAAGACTTTCCGAGTTGAAAACAAATGAACAGAAAAAAAATAAAGGAGAAGAGTAGGTGAAGTGGCAAGGAGGCCAAATGACAAGTTCGCATCTCTTCCTAGATTAAATACGGTTTACTTCTAGTTTTACTGTCAATAGTTCAACTTCAACGACCTCAGTAGTTTTTTAAATTATATTTTCTTTAACGAGTGGCAATACTAAGCGTAAACTCCACATCAAGATCCTCCGGGGGTCCCACCCTGGCCTCAAATTCTGCACAATTCCATCATCGGATTTGGTTCCAAATACCGTATGGTATAAATCAGTGGAACCCCACCGCGTCACGTGTCCGCAAGTACACCTTATAAGAACTCCTCTCGTTCATTCCTTTCGCGGTCTTTGTT